GAACACATTCAAATCCCTCGCCATCAAGAGACTGGACCTTTGAACAGGAGACAGACACCCAAAAGTGTTGTGTTGAAAATAGAAGACTTACAGCGAGGGGATAAACCTCAATAGGCAGTATGTGAAGGTCTTTCATAATAAATGTCTACAGCGTCCTGGGACGTTTTTCAATTCAATTATTTGAATATGGCACAGATGTTGAAAGTCAACATCCAGGGTGTACTTAGAAACCTGTGTGTTCACAACCTGTTCATTTCTTACAGAATGGGGTCTTACATTTTGTTTAGCCTAAATCATAAAGAGACATATAAATGACAAAATAAACAGGTTTACCACGTCCCTTGTTGGTAAATATTTGATTTTCACTGCTTACTCCTCGGTTTTTAGCGAGAGTTTATTCAGCATTTTGGGACCAAGGATTATAATATCATGACCATGGACACCTTCCTGCCACCAACATCACAAACAGGCCTCCTTTTCGAGAGAGTTGTGTTGTCTGCATTATCTAGGGCTGGGACGAGTAACTCGGGTACCCGGGTTGGGTGTGTACTGAGTAGGACCCAGGTACCCACAGGACTAGCCAGACCTGTGGTTAGTCCCGTGATATATTGCTTAATGACAAAAATTATCTAGAACTCCATGGTTACACTACAAGTTACTAATGTTCGCATTTCTTTCTGACTGTGCACCCATTCCTTCTGATTTTTCATATGGTTGAATAAAGATATAACTTAATTCAACTTCAGTGTATGAATGACCAGATTGTTTAATACATGTATCTAAATAAATTTTGCCAGGGCTATGCAAAAAATGTTCCCAATCGGACATTTTGAGACATCTCCTGAGACCTACGGTGGGTACTTGGGTAGGGTCGGGTAATAGGGGGTGGGTACCCGGGTAGTATATTTGGACTTGTCCCAGCCCTAGTATTATCATTGTTCATGTTGTAAGGCCACAATCAATTAATCTTCTTGTAACTGCAAGTAACTGACAATGATAGGTCAATTCCCTCTACACACTTTTTATAATTAACGTCTGATTAAAAACTTCAATAATAATAATAATAACCAACTAATCTTATGTTGTATTTGACCAATATTTTGTACCATCTTTAAATCATCATCATCATCATCATCATCATCATCATCATCATCATCATCATCTATCACAAACAGTGCCACTACGCATCACACCACATCAACATAACTGTTACTCTGCTATATATACTACTAAAAAAGGTTTAGGAGCAATTCCTTCATATTACAATAGCTGATTGGTCACTGCATGGCAAATTAACTATAGAACTATAGTAATATGAAAGAATCATGTTGCAGAGCTCCAGGTAAGCTGCGTATCTGCGTGAAATACGCAGTAAAATAAAATAAGCGTATCAAATACGCAACGAACATTACAGATACACTTCAAAAATAAAACTTGTGCGTATCATCAAAATATTGTGAAGTAACCCTGCGTATTCGATTAGCAAATCAGCAACTTATTTTGAAATTATAAACGGGCATTCATCAACCTTGCCAAACTCCACGATGACAGTTACATCATGATCATTTGCCATCACACTTTCTTATAGAAGTATCGTGGTATTTTTTAGTCCTATAAAGCTCTCGAACCCACATGACACCAGTTTGCAGGGACTAGATGAATAGTGTTTTTTAAATATTTAACTTAAATACCCACATGTGTAAAAACTAGTGGGTAACAGAAATTTGAATACCCAGATAGAATTACAGATACCCAATGATTTTAAAATGCATGGGTAAAATACCCACAACACCAAAAGCTTATCTGGAGCTCTGATGTTGTCCTTAACATTTTTTGATTGGCATATATAAGGCATTTCCTACAACAGGTGAGTTGCGCATGTTGCACAGGAGCACTGCAAGCTTGACAAGAGCATCTCAAATATGTCCACTCATACCTCCAGGAAGATTTCAGCTGTCGAACGTGCCCAACATTGTCATGATCAAGGCTCCCAGACCCTGGTGTGTATATCTGCGTATTTACCTATCAGACTGTGAGCTTCTGTGTTCTCTGTCGTGTTGACAAATCGCTGTCAACAGTTACTTACTTAATCCACCGGTCCCTTACACGTAATGTCGAAAACAAATATGTAGACAAACCCATTACCCACCAGATCTGCTTCTTGTGGCAATGACTGCAACACTTAACATTGTAGTAATGCTCTCAGGGAGCGATCTCAGGGCTACGGCAGCCGTAACTCCCATTCTTTTACAAGGCAAAGACTGCAACACTTAACATTGTAGTAATGCTCTCAGGGAGCGATCTCAGGGCTACGGCAGCTGTAACTCCCCTTCTTTTACAAGGCAAAGACTGCAACACTTAACATTGTAGTAATGCTCTCAGAGAACGATCTCAGGGCTACGGCAGCCGTAACTCCCATTCTTTTACAAGGACTTACAATTGTTGTAGCGCTAAGATCGCTTTGTGGAATGGGACCCCGGAATAGTTTAATTCAACTTTTACAAAGGTTTGTTAATTTCATAGTAATGACATTCTTGTTATTAGCAGGCAGAATTACATCAAGCCAGTAGTTTACAAGTGTATTTATTATTCTATACATATACTTTGTGTCATTTCCACGGAAGAACAATTATTTGACTTTTACATATGAACGTAATTAAATGATGAAAATTCCTATTCTATACAAGTTTTTATCTCAGTCAGTCTGTTTTAATAACTATTTTTTTATTTACATAATTTACATTTTTAGATAAAAACCTGTGGCAAAATATATTTGGATTTTATTTGGTAACCCAGGGCTAGGTAAAGCTCATGCTCAAGCATGGCACTCAGAATGGATTAATACAGAAACAAGAAGTATAGATGTCTTATTAATTTTGTTTGTTGTTTAACATCGCACTCAGCAATATACCAGCTGTATGACTGCGGTCTGTAAATAATCGAGTCTGGATCAGACAATCCAGTGATTGACATCATGAGCATCGATTCACACAATTGGGATACGATGACATGCATCAACTAAGTTAGCGAGCCTGACCACCCAAGCCCTTTGTCACCTTTTACGACAAGCATGGGTTGCTGAAGACCAATTCTACCCCGGATCTTCACGGGTCTGTCTGATTAATGTTTGGGTTTATAATGTGTCCAGTAAATGAAATAAAATCAAAACTTTGTTCACAGAGACTCTCTGGTGCATTCAACGATCCCTATATGCAGAAACCGACATTGTTCAGGATTTCTCTTATTGATGGAATTTGAATAAAGTTTTGCACTTAAGACATGCAAGAAGTTAAAATAAAAATATTCTTAAGCACAAATGCACCTTTTAAAGTAACATATTAGTCTAAAGAAGTTTAAGTACACCCGATTCTTTTCAATGCTTATAGTTAATCTGTCATGGCTGGTTGGTATTGCAGCACAACCTTCCAGTTGTGGGTGTTCTTTAACTTTTTTTGAGTAGTATATTATTACTGATGATGTGGCAGATCACGTACTTAACCTATGTTGTCAAAATCTACTTCCACATGCCTCCAAGCAGCAGCACAAACTTCATGACATGATAAACATGCATATGATTTATGGGGAATAAACACAATAAACTGATCCACAAATCTTCTGGATGACATTTTTGCATCTAAATTGATTGCACTGTCAAAATAAATGGACAGCCAAACATGGTTTTAACTTCAGATGTGACAACCGAATTGTGCTCTAAATGCTTTGAGACATTTAAATTCGAGATTAGATGAATCATCTTAAAGAAAAAATATGTGTGTGTATTTAGCAAATCCATTCTTCAATATCAATGGCAACATATTTGCAAAACACACAAATATTCTAGACATGTTGGATAATAAATACACAACTTGGGCAAACTTGTTTTTCAACAGAGATCGAGTCGTTATTTTCTGTGCTGTAAAATAGCTCAGAAACAAATTACAATCTTCCAAAGAAAATGTCAGTGTTATTTTATTTCTTAATTCTTCAACAGTATGTATTTCATCATTAGCCTGTTCCATGTGAAATGTCTGGCTACCTCAAGCAAACCTATTACAACTTCACATCTATGAGAAACTAAACCAGCTTTGTATTTTATTGTTCTGTTGTACAAAGACTGTCGACAATAAAACCTAATGATCGCACAACAACCTCCCCACTGACGCTGATTTATTTGTTTTCTGGCTTTGTGCGAGCTTACAAACTGGTAGCTGCATTGTATGCTTGGAAATTCATAAAATGGTTTGACACAAGCTCATGATTTTATATGACTCTTTCCGCACGAAAAATACAATCTTTTGACAATTTTTATTAATAGCTGATCAGTGGATAGATAATGTTAAGATTTAATATACATTCATCAGATTCATCAGTAAGAAAGGTCAAACTAGTTTTGTGTTTTCTAAAGATTTTGGTTTGGTTCATTTGACTTCGTTGACATTTAATTTTATGACTTGAGCTGCGAGTTAGAAATATTTTATACCTGTTCAACCAATCCTCCCGGTTGCATCTTTTAACTTCAATCAACTCCTGTGTTGTGTCATATTTTTTACCTGTTCGGATTATCATTGACACAATCGCTATATTTACGTCTTTATCACGTGATTTACTGATCCGACAATGTGCAACATTTCATGTGCATGTTCAACAATGTTAGCAGACACGCTACAAAGCGACGTCTGTGTTATTAACAAAAGTTCTGTCTTTGAGATTTATCAAGTGAGAGACAGAATCTAAATATTATTTAAAAAATATACCAATGAAACAGAAACACATCTCAACACGCGTTACAGTCTACCCGGAAATATACCCAGATAGGTAGCTGTAGTTGGTATGGCACAACACCAGACGATCATTATACAATAATCGCCTTATATGTTGGGTAAACTTATCAGACCAGTTGAAATCAATCATTCATGTCAAAATACACGTTGATTTATCATTATCAAATCAAAACAACCAAAGTTTAACAGTATTAGTAACCACGAAGAGACATTTCTTACCTGTCATCAAAGTAAATCTATCCAAGTTTCACGTGGAAAGACGGCCCCCTTTACAGAGGGCCTCAGGTGGGGTAGCGTTCCAACCGCGTCCCATCGCAACACAGGTAATCTAGGTGTAAACGTGTCCCGCCAATTAACACTCTTTGTAAATTACATCCAAAGAATCCACTGACACCAATCAGGTACCTGTCTCCAACCTCCGCAGCACTCGGCGTGGTTAAACTCGGAGCGACTGAATAGATCCCTCAAGTGGTCTGCGACATTTACAACTCCAGCTTGTTCAACGGAGTAGTCAACCAAACTACATGTCGTAGGATATCGGTGATACTCGGAGGTTTCCGTCATACAGGTAGACTATAGGCTGTTTCAATTTGATATCGCAGCGACATATTTCCTGGTGGTATTGTTATGAGGTGAGGTGAAATTGAGTATAACGTCGCGTGCAAGATTATTGCACTTATACAGCATTATATACCGACGCGTGCGTGCGCGCGTGTGTTTTATAAATATGTTCCATATACTATTATGAAATGTTATTGGTTTCACAAGTTTATAATCAAATACATTTTTTTGTATATTATAAGGAGTCATTAAATTCATTGTTTTTTCATTTCAGAGTTTCCAATGAAATTTTATTCACGATACGTTCGAATTCCTTTCACGGAAGAATGTTCACGTTTCTAATTTTATTTTATGTAGTTTTTCCTAACTAAATGCATGTGTATTTAAAATTTGTGAGAGGCCCTTTGGGTAATTAATGGTACAATGTCATCGGTCATCGTCTTCACAAATTCTATAAAATCAGAAGTTAAATATTATTTTTTTAAATTATGTTCACCTGGCTGTTACTGACTGCATGTTTTGTGACTTGTTACCCAAGCTACAGTTTTGAAATTATACTTTTGAAATATGGTTAGGTTTCAAAAGCCTAACGAACATCTGTTCTTTTTCCATTCGTACATGATTGTCATTGTTAAACAATTTATAAAACGGAGAGACGGTAAAAAATGGCCACTCCCACATTCATCAATGTGTTTGCTTACATTATATATAGAACGTACATTTGGATCTTGAATATGTTGTGATTCGGTCTTTTAGTTGCATACCAGTTTCTCCAATATAATGCACACCACACCCTGCACCTGTTAAAACATATATATCATCTTTACTACGACAGTATATGTTGTTTTTGACAGTAAATAAATTAGCTTCATTCAATTGAAATTTACAGTCTTCAGTTATTATTGGTCAAGTTCCACATTGATGTGCGTTACATTTTGTTACACTGACGGTATTTGTATTTTGTAAGTATTTAGATGGACAAAGAATTTGATTGAGATTTTTAGCATCTGGATGTGTGTGTGTGTGTGTGCGTGCGTCCGTGCGTGCGTGTGTTTGTGCTCCCGACAAACACGTTTAATGGCTTTAGAGGAGTGAGTTTGGTCTTACCAGCTTTGAACACTCAGCATTTCAGTTATGTCACGGCGTGTCAACTTGACGTGAGAGGGCTTGACGCGGTGCAGGTCTTAAGCCCCCGTTACACTATCAAACACTGATAAAAAAAACTTGGTAAAAGAAAACCAAGTTTTCTCAGTCAAAGTTGGACTGTTTGCACTCATCAAAGTTTTTCAGAGGCCATCCAACGTTTGGCAGGAGTTATCCTGCCAAGATGGATGCTGCGGATGAAGAATGATTTGCTGTTATGTGTATTTTGTGTATTGTCATGTTAAGAAGGCGGCGTCCGGGGAGGCAAAGGAATATATGGTCCCTGGATTGGCTGCAGAGGCGGCATCAGCTTAGTGCCTACCAATCTCATTAAAATAAGATCTTATATTAGTTCTCGCTACCGCTAAACAAAGATCTGAGGACATCCCATTACGGGTCACGTCAGACCGACCATGCGCAAACTTTGACCGACCAATGAAATGACTGACAAAAAGTCGTCATTAGCCAGTCAGAAGGCAATTTTCTCGTGCTTTACGGCACTAATTTCAAATTGGCGACTACGCTTCGAAACATATTTGGACAAATTCTCGATAAAAAATTTGAAACCTGAACAAAAGAACATTCTGGAATGTCTAATAGATGGTCTAGATTGTATGGATTCAGTCGTTAAGCATGTAACTATCGTTCGGAATACCCCGTGTTGAGGTGTTCGAAGTTGCATGATAAGAAATCACATTCCGACTGTCACTTTCATGATCTGGTAAGCGACGCTCTGATTGGTCGGATGAAAGGTCGTTCTGACGTTCTCAGATCTTTGTTTAGCGGTAGCGAGAACTGAGATATGATTTTAATGAGATTGAGTGCCTAGAATACTCATCTACAAGAGTAGATAGAGAGGATTCCAGTGCCTATGCCAACTATATAATCATGAATAGAGACACGTTCAGGTTTCTTCTTGAAACCGCGAAGCAGGACACAAGGCTGAGGGTTTCTTGCATTCTGATTGGCTAAATTACATCAAAGTCCACCAAAATTTTAGAAGAAAAAAAGGATTAGTTTCTATTTCATCAAATCCGTCAAAGACATTGTCAAAGAATTTGATGGTATGTTTCATTATCCAAAAACTGGTCACAATGGATCAAAGTTCTTGATAGTATAACGGGGACTTTTGACATTTACTACTTTGGTGAAACTCACGAGCACGGGTAGGGTGGTGGCAGACCCATCTTTGAGTAAATTAATCATTTTACAGTTCAAACGAGCCTAGTAATGTCAAAATAACAGAATTAATGTATTCAAAATATCTCTCTCCCCCCCCCCCCTCTCTCTCTCTCCCTCGCAATTGGGCATCAACTAATTCAGCAAGTCTGACCACCCGATCCCGTCGCCTCTAACGACAGGCATGGGTTGCTGAAGATCTATTCTAACCCGGATCTTCACGGGTCGAGCGTTACGCCGATTCTCTCTGCCTGTCTCTCTCAGGAATAAGTTACTTCACTCACATCAATCTCGTGAGTTTTTCGCCTGGCCTAATGTAAAAGACACTTGCAATGTTTTCATCTTACGGCGTTGATTCCCACTATTCAAAGTTTCATACATGTATACTTTTTTTAGTGCGACCGCCTTTGCTCAGTCACGTGTGAAGAGTTGCCTCCCTTACAGCCGTGACAGGATCCCCAGATCGTGGGTTGGAAGCCCAGGTTCACCCCGAGTATGGTCCTTGATCTGCCAGCTCCATACCCGTGTTTGTTAAAACTGACGGCACTAGAGAGGTAAATGTCCTCAATTCGCATAGCCGTGGAATTTGCTGCTATATGAAGTTCACAGGCCTTGATATGATAGTGCTCAAAGCGGCATAAATGTTTATTCAGTCGAAGTGTGCACTTTTTGTCATTGGATGCATCACGCTTTAAAAGTATAATGTTATGAACAAAGCACCAATGTTCGTGACAAAATTTCATATCTCATTCATCTCATCTGCATCATCAATCATATAAACAAGATGGCGACAGTTATGCCTCACGACTTTGAACGAGCATTCAATCACGTGAAAGACGGAAGTTCCAGATATAACTTTGCATGCTCTGATCTCTATTTTCGCTGTCCTGTAAAACTTATGAATCATGTACAATCCTTGTCTTTTTGGCTGCGTGTAGTAAGTTGCAGAAACCAAAGAACATGGCATTTATTTTAAAAACAAATGTTAAAATGTTTTTAATCTTACTCATTGGACCACGATTGATCACGTCTATAGTCTGTACATGTCACCATTGCTATATGATGCATAATTCTTGTTTGTTTGTTGTTTCACACCGCACCCAGCAATATTCTATCTACATGACGGCTGTCTGAAAATGATCGAATCTGGACCAGACAAACCAGTGGTTGATATTATGAACAACAATCCACGCGGATGGGCAGGCAGACACGCTATCAACCAAGTCACCAAACCTGACCACCCGATCCAACAAGTCATCCATATACGACAAGCAAAGGTAATATAAGTTATATATATGTTTTCTGTTAGCCATCATATCAAGGGGCATAGGTCAAAAATATCATGTATAAACCTTGACAAGTCAAGGATAAAGAAACTAAAATCAGCTCTAACATTATTACAGAATAATGAAGGATAATATTTTGACTTCAATACTGAAACACATTTACCTTAAAATAGTCACGTAAACACTGATCTGTCCTTAACTCTATGACGTATACAAATGTAGACATTTCTGATAGACTGGACATTGGCTGAACTAAAGTCTATGACATACAAATGTAGACATTTCTGATAGACTGGACATTGGCTGAACTAAAGTCTATGACATACAAATGTAGACATTTCTGATAGACTGGACATTGGCTGGACTAAAGTCTATGACGTATACAAATGTCGACATTTCTGATAGACTGGACAATTGCTGGACTAAAGTCTATGACGTATACAAATGTAGACATTTCTGATAGACTGGACATTGGCTGGACTAAAGTCTATGACGTATATAAATGTAGACATTTCTGATAGACTGGACATTGGCTGGACTTAAGTCTATGACATACAAATGTAGACATTTCTGATAGACTGGACATTGGCTGGACTAAAGTCTATGACGTATACAAATGTAGACATTTCTGATAGACTGGACATTGGCTGGACTTAAGTCTATGACGTATACAAATGCAGACATTTCTGATTGCCTGGACATTCATACTGACGACCAGACCGTGGAGAGAGAGCGAAGGTTTAACTTCGCACAAAGCAAGAGTGTCAACGCGTAAAGTGCAAAACATAACTTCTCTGAAACGGACTATACACCGTAAAGCGATCGGTGCGCCGGGATCGGGGTGACACTGCAGGTAAAACTGAGCATGTTGAAACTGAATTGACCACGTATAAAACACCCCTGACTGTAACCCGACCCCACTGAGTCCCACGGTAACGCTTGCCCCTGTTTCTTTACCAACACGTTAAAACATGGACACTAGGACGGATTTGGGTAGTTTTTAATCTATTATTAACCCATTCACTATCAACTCCCTTCTACGTGACTGGCACGAATGGCTTTATGTTTTGTTATATTGATCATAGTAAATCAATATTTTAGCAATGTGCCATAAACTCGGCGTTAAGTTAGGACCCGGGCCGTTATTGTGTATAGAGTATAATGCAATGAAAGTCACAACGTAGAAAGATTACTGGCGACATTGATTAAATTTGCATATGATATTATTTTATTTTTTAGGATGTCCTGTCAGGGCGTACCTGTTGATCCGTGTTTGACATTATGAATGGGTCATGGTGAATTCCGAAAGAAAAATACAACTTGATGTGAAGTACATTCACACAGAGAGAGAGAGAGAGAGAGAG